AATCATTTCCCAATCCATCTACATATTGAAAAAAAATCTGTATAACCAAATAAATGACTGTCTGCCTTTTGAAAGTGGCTGCAGTCAGTGACCTCAGCAGCCACAGACAGCGTTTACTGGCATGCAGCTGCTGCGCGAAGTTGATTTCCCACCATGACAACGACACAAAGCCCCAACCAGAGCTGAGCCAATCCCCCAGAAGCCACAGAGGAAGCACTTGGAGGACAGTTATGACATGCTGGAATGAAAACATGCATCTATATAAAAGAGCTGAGACAGTGACGCAACACATTCAGATCCTTTGATTATCAACAAGATGGTATTCGGCACGTGATTTAAGGAATTCGCTTCAGTCTTCCAGGCGGAGAAATAATTCAGTGACGAGGGCAGGAAAATAAACTTTTTATCTACAAGCACCAGCAGCTGATTAAATTCATTATATCTCCACTTTTTATATTTGACCAGCTGGATTGTTTAGAGCAGAACAGGGACCTCTATTCTAACACTGGTCTCGAATCACACTGGCAATCAAAAGTCAGCACGTTACAGTGATAAATGTGCCCCATGTGATCTCGCCCCTGAAACTGATTCATGCAAATTAAGGTTTGAAATATCTTTTAAATGGCTGCTCTCTGCAGGCGTCTCCTGCACAACACTGCAGTGATCATAGACGAGAGAAAAAGACAAAAGATCTCTGTGACCGCTGTCAAGTGCAACATGTCCCAATTCTCATCTGAATTTCGACTTTACTCGTCTTTTTCTTGGTTGAATAAAACTTTCAGACACTGGCAATTTCATTAACACCTGGTCGATTTGTCCCCCAGAAATTAAGGCTGAGAAATAAAAGTGTGATTTTGAAAGTCATCTGCCAAATTGTGATATATGTCAATACCAGAGAAATATTTCAACCTGTATGGCATAGATGTTGAACTTAGAAGAGCGGAGTGCAAAGACAAATCAGACCAACCACAGTTTAACAATTTTGACCTTCAATAGAATTTGAATCTCTTTGATTTCGGCCCAAAACTTAAATTAAATAAATTGGAGCTGGTCTTGAATCTAATTCGGACTCCACAGAAAAGAAAAGTCCTTTTCTGTTTACAGAAAAGGACATGCTACCTCTGAGACGTATAGTACATTTATGACATTATAAAAGAACATACTTTCCTGTTATAACACACCTTGTGTCACAAAAGTAACCAGAGTGTGTTTCCCCAAAGTAGGCATGCATATAGAAAGTATTTAAACATAAGAATATGCTACTTGTATAGTATCTGCCATGATATGAAACAACATCACAGAGTGTAGCTAAGGGCTGCAACTACCTATAATTTTATGTATTAAAGTGATTATTATATATGTTTAGTTTAATATTGTATATAACAAATAAAAGCATCAAATAAAGCATCAAATGTCCACATTTAACAGCCTGCAACCAGGAAATGTTTGTCATTTTTGCCTGAAAGATAACTGAAATGATTATTTGATTATCAAAATAGCTGGAAATTAATTTTCTGTTGATCTACTAACATAGTTTGATTAATAACTTAAAAGCCTTCAGCATTACATTATAGTGTAAGTGATAGTGTGTTCTTAACTGAAGCTTCTAGCTGGAAAAAAAAGGAGAAATAAATGCCTCTGACTAATCATCGTATCAACTTCAACAGCTTTTTCTCAGACACATTGAGTTTTGAGTCAGACTTCCTTATGTCATAAATATCACACCTGCTCTATTGGCAGCCGTGCAGCATTTAAACTCCCTAAACACTGGTCAATAAAACATGCATGGCTCAGGGCACACATATAATAATCATATAATATCGTACAACTTTGTTATTATCCACTTACTTCTGAACACTACGCATACGAGCAGAAGGAGTGCAGAACTGGTGCATGATACAATGCATTCAGTTGCCTTGAGGCTGGCAGTGGTTGGGTGTAATTAAGTACATTTTCTCATACAGTTCTTAGGTATAGTTTTGAGGTACTTTACTTGAATTAAATGCTACATGATATTTAAAAGTTATACATTTATTTGACAGATCTAGCCCCAGCAGCTACATGCTGGTTTACACACTATGCCAGCAGTCTCAGGGGCTGAATTAGCATTTTAACTTTCAATACAAGTAATTTTCTTAAATGCAGGAATATCTTATACATTGTTGTATTAGTACTTTTACTTGAGTAAAGGATCTGAGGTGTACTTCTTCCACCACTGGAGGTTGGCTGGGGGTGAATAAGTTTGGAGAAGACTTATATAACCTGTTTACACACTACTGGGTCACAAGTAAGCGGCAACAGCGGCTGCAGGCAGATATACGGCCTGCTGACATCGGTCCATATCACAATCACACGGAGACAGGCACGAAACTGAAGTCTCAACGGCGACTTTCATCACATGGCTGAGATGATATCAACATTTTAGACTTTGAGGGGTGTCACAGGTCACCCAAATATTATGGTAAACCCTGAATCTGTTGCTTTCAAGACTGGGGAGTTTTTTTTTTTTTTTTTTTTTTTTTGCAAATGGAAAAAATGTAGGGATGGCAACTGCACCGACAGCTGAGAGGCGAGTATCCAAACATAGCTATAATGTCAAAAGTGACAAGCACGTACGTACACGGTTGGGCCCCGTTCAAGAGAAGTTCGGCCCACCGCTCACCAGCTGTCACACCTGACAACGAGGTAAACACACCCTCCGGATATGTGCGTCTCTACATGTTCAAATGTTAAACATATTAAAACAGCGCCATGACAACGTACAAACAGGTAAACCGTTTAGCGAGCTCGAAGCACGGCGCTGGATTTGTTTGGCTAGCGGCTGCAGGGCGCACGCCGCCCGGGCTCACCATGACGGACTGCGGGGTAGACGAGTTGGTACAAATGGAAGCGGATTTAAGTGTGAAATGTAACCCGGGACAGCCCGGGTTAAGTGTCTGCAATGTAAGAACAAAGTCAGAATTGACATTACCTTCATCCGGGAGCGGTAGCAGACGATTTATAGAGGAAATTGGTAGAGACATGCAGACGCGGCTGTTGAACCCGTTCAGACCCTGAACGTCTCGGAAACAGAAGGAAGAACAACAAACGCGGCTTCCGCTCGTACCCGTCCGCACACAGCATGCACCCCCTATTTTTCACCTTTCTCATGTCATCCCAAATCTTTAAAATTTGTTAATAAACTGATTTTTAATATTAAGAATAGAATAAAACATCGCAACTGCAGAAGAATTATACTTCAGGTACGGACCGTGTCACTACAAGTCAAACATTTCTCGTAACAGGTCAAGATTTGTATAGCAAATGTATGCCGAATATGAGAACGAACCCTAACAATTCCACCTACATTCTTTTTTCATTTTTATGCAAGTTTTTTCTGGTTCCCGATAAGGAGTTTAACTATAGATTATCAAAATTTGAACGGAGATAAGGTTTTTTACCTCTCGGGCGGAACTGTTCAGAGCGTATCGCTGTTTTCACACGGACCACAAGTGTTCCCAGACATGGCAACTTGCACGCGGACTGTGTGGAAAGGTCAGTTGTTTTGTGTAACGTACTTTCTCGCAACTGACATTAAAAATTGTTCGTGTATTTAGTAGGAGAAGTATGTATTCATTCTTTCAAGCTTCCGGTGTGTTTCGGTTAACGGCTAAAACAGGTGCAGCCTGTTAGCTTGCCTGCTTCTCTTTTAGCTAGCTCTCCTGGTTAACGGCTACACATCACAAAACACGTCGCAAATATGTGCAATTCTTATTGTCTCCTTGCGTATTTCATAATTTCCCACACGGACCAACATTTCTGATGATTATGTCTCAGTAACTGAGATTCTTGTTTAATTCGGCATTAATACAAGTAACAAAACAGCTTTTAATCAAACGAAATAAACGTTTTTTGGATGGGTTCATCGGTAGTCCAAGAACCAAAACACGTCGTCGAGGGCGGTGACGAACTTTAATTTTGGTTAAATGTAAGTTATGTTTGGTGGCTCATATGTATGCCAAATTGAAGAGTTGGCGTGAATGATTCTATCAATTTAATAAAAATCAACTATGATATGTGGTTTCACGTAAAAACCGGCAGATTTCTGAGTGAAGTTTCTTAGGAAAGACATAATAAAGGAAAACGCTGGATGTGAGGGGCTAAGGATTAACGAGCAGTAATACAGGAAACTATCATCATATTAGTTCAACTAAACCCTTGCACCACCTGTCTCTGTTTGTCCAGGACTAGCAACAACCAACTATCCACCATATGAGCTCACACACTTAACTTAAAATTATAAAGTAGTACTAACTACTGCTGGGAACAAGTTCAGACAGGTTTTACATTTGGAAAGCACATTTTGTTTTGCAAATCATCAAGCTCATACTGATACCTTGATAAAATAATATTGGCACAGGCAAATATTAACAAATGATATCTCACACGAATAACATAACTTGAACAGCCATATCCAATACACTGAGCTGATGTTATTTTATGGAGACTGCAGCTTCAATGTAATGATTGCCACCAGCTTGCATGGCATCCTATGGTGAAATTACACAGATACTTTATGGTGCGCTTGGTTCATGCAAAATTAAAGCATGTTCTATAATATCACAAAGTTTCAAACTCTGGTATACACCTTGATGTGTAAAATGGAGGTCATCAATTGTTACCTGTGTCTGTTGATTTCCTTTCTCAGTTTGTTTTCCTCTTTTCCAGTTTTAGCAGGATGTCGGAGGCAGCTGCTGAACGCCAGCGGTCCCACCTACATGGGTGTCTCACAAACTGCACAGAGGAATCTCCCTGTCAGGACTTTTGCAGCCGTCAGGTGAGTTTACAAACTCTTTAACAAAAACCTGGTTTAAAAGATTTTCATCCAGAGACACTTTTTATGTCTTCGGAGATGTTTTTCTGCTTCACCCTCCGAACAGTTTGTCACATTTAGCCACTAGAATCAGTTTGTTGTTGACTGAGCAGATAAAAAAGTGTCATGTAAACCATAAAATCAAGACAAGACAGAGGAAGAGGCCTGATGAACTAAATGTTTTTCATTTTAACATCTCCCATATTGTTTGGCAGGACACTAAAGAAAGACAAGAAAGAGGAGCCAGAGAAGGAGGAGAAGAAAGAGAAGAGGGTGATCGATGACTCAAACAGACACAAGCCTTATGGCAAGACAGCGTGGGCCCCTGTGGATGACGTGTACATTATCAGGCACTACCCCAGGACCGTCTACGACGTATCAGACGCCATCGACATGTTGAAGAACTTCCAGGTGTTGGACTTCACCCCCCGCAGTCAGCCTGTTTACATCGATCTGAAGCTAGACATGAAACTGGAGAAAAAGGTAACAGCGTCAACACAGGGGCTGTTCTCTTTGCATGTGTTGGTGAATTGAACTCCAAACCAGGAACTCTGAAGGATGTTTATGCACCACTGAAGTCGTATGTGGTTAAATTTAGATTCAGGTTATGTAGTTTCTAGCTATTCACCCACATTTTCAGTAGGACTACTTGGTTGATTTTAGCAGTACTTTTATTGCTGTACTAAGGTTTCCAAAAATAGCTACACTACAATTAGCCGATTAGAAAAAATAATCTGTCAAATAGTTTCAGTCACTTTTGTAGTAAAAAATAGTGAAAAAGGTTAAAGAAATTGTGAGGAGCTGCTGATCTACTTTGTCATATATCATTTTAAATTGAATATCTTTGGCTTTTGGACTGTTGATCGAGCAAAACGAGACATTTTAAGGCGTCACCTTGGACTCTGGCAAGTTCCGATGGGATTTTTTCACCACTTTCTGACACTTTGTAGATTATTAATTAATTGGTCGATTGAAAAACTAATTTACAGATGAATTGATGGTGATAATAATCAATAAACACCAATTTGTTATTTAGCCTACCCTCATTAATGTAAGTGGGATGGACAAAATAATAAAAACACGTGTACATTCAATGCAACACAATTCAACAGCACCACAAACTGCAGCCTCTGAACTGACCTTACAGTTGACGCAACACCACTTTAAAACAGCTACAACAGAAACATCATTGTAATCTTCATAAAGGAAGAATTTCTTGCAGGACTGTTGTATTAGACTGCAACTGTCCTTTATTATTCCTACAGTGTGGACATTTGCAGTATTACAGCAGCAAATTTGACAGTGCAAAGAAATGCTAAAATAACAATATCAAATATTAAAGATCTCAACATTTAAAAAAGATAAATAATATAGTATAGTAAATAGTTAGGAATATTGCACAGTTGAGCTTGGTGTGTCTAATAGAAGAGTGTAGTTGTTCTCAAATAAATAAGAAGTAGGTTAGGAAGTTAAATTGTCACATCAGTATTTATACAAATCTCCAGAGAAAGTCACTGGATGCTGAGAATAGATGAGGATGTCCCAATAACGGTTGATCACCTGCCAAACTGTCAGTTAGAAAACTAATTTTAACAGACTTTGCAAAGTTGTTCAGCTTTTTCTTTGGGAACTCTCCCAGTCTGGCTGTTACCGCTCTCACCTCGCCTCCACAAATCAGAGAGGTGTTTACAGCGTCAAGCTTTCCAACATGAGCAGTTTTGGTTACGCGGCTAAAAAAAAACGTCATGACACAGAGGAATTAAGACACATTCTGAGTTTGTTTCCACATCACAGGACCGTGGAGCTGCTGTGAAGTCCAGACGGTTCACATGAGACGCACTCTGTTTTACTCTCATCAGTCTGTCGCCACAGAACTGTGCAAAACCAATGTTCCTATGCATAATGAATGCCGAACACTCCAGAGAAATTAAAAATTGACGTGGTGGTGGAATGGATTTAATACTTGATTACCTAGGCTTGGTCTGTGATTGACATCCTCCTTTTTCACGTTTCCTCCCAAATCTTTTATTTGTCCGGAGCTCTGAGTGTTGATAACTGTAATAATTGCCTCGTTTTTCTTCTTTGCAGAGAAGAGTTGACCCCTTCGTCAGCACCGTGCACTTACCTTACCCCATAAAGACGCAGATGAACAAAGTTTTAGTTTTCACCGAGGTAAAAATGAAATTTCCTTTCCTCCCCGTCAGTCTCACTGAATCTTAATTTCATAGCCAATTGATTGTCTGCTGTTGATGAATTGTTTTAATATTGTCCGAGCATGATTCAGATGTGCAGCAGCACCTTTTATTTGTCACCCCACTTGTCTGTAATGAATGGGCTCGGGTAGCGGTTGTTTTGTTCACAGAAACCTCCGCTACAAGCAGGATTTGATTAATATTCCTGTCAAGCAGCACAGGTTGTGGGGTTGTGACTTAAAGGTGCATTTTAATGACGATAATGAATGACAGTGGTGGGGTCTGCCAGGCTCTCACACACCCAAATCAGATTGAAACAGATAATGTTGCCTCTGTTTTTTGTTGTTTTTTTTTCCTCTGCAGGATGCTAATCAAGCTAAAGTCGCCCAGGAGAGCGGTGCCATGTTTGTTGGAGGAGCAGAGCTCATTCAGCCGGTGAGTCGGTTAAACAAAGGTACACGTACTCTAACTCCAGATCTATTTGAGTCAGACGGAGCCAAGCGTAGGCATGCGGTAGTTCAGCAGCTGAGAAAATGTAGTTCCAAAGTAAAGTGCTCGTTTGACGGCAAGATAAAGCAGTGAAAATATTCAAAATAAAGCGTTATACACTGACTGTAGGCAAGTACCTCAGACAACCACACGTCAAATAACCCGAACTACCACTTTAAAGTTTTTGTTGTAGACATTTGAAGACTTTTGTCTGATGTAGTGCACAGTTATCGATCAGTTTGATTATTTCTATGTGTCTTTGCAATCGGTTGTCATTATGTGATTTATATATATAAATATATATATATATATATATATATATGAATATTGGAAGAATATAGATATTGTGATTTTGATTTCAGCCGCATCATCCAGCCCCGTTTCCCTTTTGTTATGACATTTTTGGAGGGTATAAGATCTGCCGAGTTAATGCTCTGTTTCAAATTCACACAGCACAAACGCTCAAACCTCTGAGCTATGCAGTAAAACTACCAAAGTTACGAGTTCAGTTAAGGTTGT